GGGGGGGGGGGGGGGCATCTCTCCGCCTCTCAACCGTAGTCTAATCAAATCTAGGGGGGGTTGCCATCTCTCCAGAGGCCTTCGCAGGATTTTCGATTGCAAGTAAACATATCGGACAGAGCACGCAGTCGGGGACAAGGGCTAGTGAAAGGGTTAGGGATAGGGTCTGCGCACTCCTTCCCTGTTCTATTTCCTCGTATGCATAGGGTGAATTTCACGCCAAGATGGTCCCATCTCTCCGCACCTCTTACCGCAGGCTCACGGTTTTCGATTTCGGCTTCTACAAAAATTCCTTTCCCACCACCTTTTCCTCCCCACGTGCTCCTTGTTGTTCTTGAACGTCTTGACGCGGGTGACAGTCTCGGCGTTTTACGGCAGTCTACTCTAGGGGGTGGTCATCTCTCCACCTCTCCCAGTAGGGTGATGGTTTGATTTCGGCTTGGAAGAAGCACCTTCCGTGCCCCGCTCACCTGCTCCTTGAAGTTCTTGAAGGTCTTCACGCGGGTGATGGTCTCGCGGATGGCGTAGTCTCCGGTGCCGGCGGAGGACCAGACGAAGTCCAAGGCGGACCCGAAAGACTTGTTCCTCAGAGCCTGAGGGTTACGTGAAACACGCGAGAGGGGACGGCAGTGGTGGTGGTATTGCAGAAACAGTAGCGAGCAGCAATTACAACGACAATCAATCGATACACAGCAAAACAGTAGCAAACAGCAGCAAACAGCAGCACAACAGAAGCAAAACAGCAGCAAAACAGTAGCAAACAGCAGCAAAACAGTAGCAAAACAGCAGCTGCTGAACAGTAGCAAGCAGCAGCAGCAGCAGCAGCAGCAGCAGCAGCAGCAGCAGCACGAAAATGAGATGCGGCCTCGAACAACAAACAACGACAGCACATGCTTGAGAGGTGTACATGATGTACTCGGTACATGCGGCGTGTGTTGTAGACACAAATATTTTACATACCTGAGACGTGTAAATGATGTACTCGCCATCGCCGCAAACGACCAAGAACCGGCCATTGCAGTTGTGCCGGAGAGCTTGCGGGTACAGCTCCGTAGACCCGAGGTCCT